CAGCTCAATGCAATAATTATTGTGTCTCATGGTGAAAGCATTTTTGCTTCTGGAGCAAAGATCTCTAGGCTAGAAGAGCATAAAGTCACAAACATGAAGCAAAATTTTGTTGGTGGGCCACTTGGGGTAATGATGGATGGCACCACTCCCGTTTCTACTCTTAGACTCCTAGACTCATCCTGGCTATAGGAGAATCAGCATTATATATTTAATCTTGATTCAAAGCATACACAGTTTTCTGGAGAACTATGTCCAAAACATACAAGGTATTACCACCTCGTTAGCACTGTAAAAGGCTGTGCCACTGTTCCATTAACACAGCCACTTTAGTGTGGTAGGGAACATGGTAAGGCTGGTGAGTTCCATGAACATAGGCTGATTGCTATGCTTCATTTATGGAATGTGGCTTTCCTGATTAGAGCAATGCTGTGTGGAAAGCTCTGGTGAAAGACAAAACATTGGGTAAGTCCACAGGTGGTAGTTTTGGTAGAAACAACTGCATACAGGAAAGGCAAATCCATAGCCAGAGTGTCTCTTCCAGTCAGGACAAAACACTGCCCCTTCCATAATGTAAGGGGTCCAACGTAAATTGCCATGAGGTAACTGGCTGATCACCCCCGGGGAACAGTGACCTATGGGGGCTCAATGTCAGTCTCTATTGGAGGAAGACTGAACTCGCAGTACAGCTGTAGCCTAATTTGTCTTGGTTAGTGAAAGTCTGTTTTGTCAAACCCATCCATAACCTCCATCCCTGTTGCCATGGCCACTTTTTTCATAGACCTATTGGGCAATGAATGACAAGGGTGGCTGGGGAAAGATGTTGATTTGTATCCACAGCCCCATGGAATGCAAACATCTTCACATTTTTTTGCTTACTCCACAAGGCCCATCCACACATTTCTCCACATTTGTCATCAATTTTCCAATCATGTTTCTTCCAAGTCCCTAATCATCCAGTAAAAACATTGGTTATAACCCACGAATTACTATATTATTTTATTTATCTTTCCAGAACAAATTCCTCTCTCTCCTTTTTCTTTCCTTTCTTTTCTTTTCCTTTCTTTCTTTCTTTTTTCTTTCTTTCTTTCTTTTTTCTTTCTCTCTCTCTCTCTCTCTCTCTCTCTCTCTCTCTCTCTCTCTCTTTCTTTCTTTCTTTCTTTCTTTTGTTCTATTTGGGGCCTCAGCAGATTACATAGTGCCCATCCACACGGGTGAAAATAATCTTGACTCCTTAGTTAATTCAAATGCTAATCTCCTGGAAACACCCTCACAAACACACTCAGAAGTAATTATTTACTAGCTGTCTGGACAACAGAGCATTTAGACATGTTGATATCCAAATGAATCAGCATATCCTTGATGACCTTATACACAAAAGTTGAACTTGTGTTTTTCTCTGGGATGTGCTGCTTTGGGTAAAGGTGTAGGGAACCCATATGAGGGTGCTGAGACATCTAGCTCATGGGAATGAACCCTGAAATGGAGATGGATAATGCTTGGAGTCCTAGATGGTAAGTCATCTTGTAAGTCACATTATTCATGTGATGTGATGAAAAATACTGGGGGTTTTTTTGGTATCAGGGATCGAACTCAGGACCTTGTGCTTGTGAGACAGGTGCCAGAACCACTGAGCTAAATCCATGGCCCACTATTTTTTTTTTTGAGACAGGGTCTCACTGTGTAGTTTAGGCTGGGCTCAAAATCTGGGTGGTCTTCCTGCCTCAGCCTCCCAGGTGCTGGGATTACAGGCGTGTGGTACCACACCCAGCTTACTATGAATGTTTTAAAATAAAAAAAAATTATCACAGTAAAAGATACACTTTCATTAATCCACTTCAAAATACCTCCTCATGCTTCAAACACACTTATCCAATCATCTGAAGCAGTTCTGCAAATCTCTCATGAGTGTCTTCATGGCTTCCTCCACGTTCGGAATCCATTCAAAATGTTTCTGGCAATTTCTGTCTCATAAAAATGTTGTGATATGTCCCCATCGACCTTATTCACTGGATCTAGCACTGTACAATTCTGGCTCATCCCCCAAGTCAAAATAGCCATGAAGAATACATTTTGAATAAGATCAGGACATCAAGACAGCCACGACAGTGCAACTAAAGATACTCGAGAAAGAGGACTCCCAGAACTGCTTCAGAAAGTGGCAAGCACAAGAGGATAAGTGTATTTGAAGTGAGGGGAAGTATTCTGAAGGGGATTAATAGTAATGTGTCTTAAATATTTACTGTATTTCTTGATCACATTGCATAGATTTGTGGCATTTCTCTCTCACTGTTTTTGTTAAACATTTCTTAGAAGGGGGTAAGGCATTTAGAAGGCATTAAGTCCTGTTTTCCACTTAGGCAAGGATGTAAAGGAGAGAGCAATGGCTGCCTGAAGCATCATGGTGGTGGCAATAAGAAAAACAAGACAATTCCTCAGAAGATAGCAAGCCAGAGGTACAAGTTCCAAACATCCTCTTGACTTGAGATTTTTAATTCTATTGCTGATATGGGAAATCAAAATGTGTTATTATCATAACTAGGGAAGGTGACTTCTATTCCAAAGGGCACAACATAGGAACCAGAAACTCTATGGGTTTTTGAACAGAGAACAAAGCCTAAATATGGTGAAGCATGAAATTTTTGTATTCCTCTGGCCGCCTCCCACCCCCATCTGCTCTTTAGGACACTTTGGTATTGATATCAACATCCATGCTATTACTGGCAAACTCTTCTCCTAATCTTTGCTTTCCTGAATCACTGGTTCCACAAATCACTAAACTGCCCAGTTTAGTGAGCCCTGGAGTATGCGGTACTCATCACAAGCTCCCCATGAAACCTGGCCTAGAGCAAATATCCAATGAATATTAGTGAATTCACCACAACATCAAACTATATGAGGAGGAAATCAAACATTGAGCTACCAGCAAAATGACTTTCCTAAGTTTTTCTAAGTATCCTAAAAATGTCAGAAGGGGGAAATCGGTTCCTGTCTCCTTCACTGCTAAAGGGTTTTCTCCCATAAGTAGTTCCTTAGCAGAGGCCTCCCCAGCTCTCTGAGCCCAAACAGGAACAAGGCTAAACCCTGAGCACACACTAAGGGTGAGACACAACCTTAACCGGGCTCAGGGAATGGAAAGAGCTCTTGGCTGTTGTAAGGGCCCTTGGATTCCAAGGCATTCCCCTCGCATTCTTGTTTCTTGGAGTGGAGTTTCTCAGACATATTTTCACCCACACAGAGATGCTGATGTTTTTTCCTGACCTTTCTACTTCAGCAATTTCCAAATCAGTTTCCCCTGATGTGGGACCCTGTGCTTATCATGCTGCTCACATCTGTGCTGGCCACCACTTGGCATGGGCTGGTGGGGAGTTCCATGCCCGTTTCCTACACGTCTCTGATGTGCTTCCACATTGGCTCAACCCATCCAGCCTGGGAACAAAACACCCCACCCAGTGTTGACCTTTCACTCATGGAGCTTGCCTCCCTCTACCTTCCAAATTTCGCACATAGAAATATTTCCTTGTCTGCAGGGGATTCTGACTACCACAAATGAAAAGCCTGTCTCGTGGCTCGCACTGCCAAGTAAAACCAGGAACGTGCTGTTTCAATGTGGCATTGTTGATACACCCAGAAACTTCATGAGAGTTTGGGAAATTAAAAGTGGAGAAACCACTCTGGCCTGCGAGATGTGCATTCTAAGAGGAATAGGATTCAAATTGTTCAAACAGACCAGAACCTGGTATTACAGGATCAGAGAATGAATAGATTATCATATTTAGATTTGTAAGCTTAAAAATTTATTTCTGAATTCATCAAACTGGACTTTGTGTGTGACTTCTTAGAATAGTGTCATAGCTGCAAAATTATAGTTCAGTGACCAATAGAAATGTCGTTTGCTTAAAATTTTAAATTGAATGGAGGAAGGGAACTTACTTTAAAGGTTTTCAATAGAGAATCTGAAAAAAATTCCATTGAAAGTCTCATCTTTCATCAAAGGCTATATTTTAAATTATTTTATTTTATCATTTTGTTTTATTTTTGAGACAGGATCTCGCTATGTAGTTCAGGTTGGCCTTGAACTCATTATGTAGTCCAGGCTGCTCTTGAAGTTGTGATCTTCCTGCCTCAGCCTCCCAAGTGCTGAGATCACAGGTGTGTGCCACCACACCTGTCTCATCAAAGGCTGTTTTAAATTGGCATTTAAACTTGCTACGCCAGACACAAGCCCTCTTGAAAGAATCAGGAAGGGTTTGTGTGTGTCAGATGTGCATTATATGCCAGTTGTGGGTAGCGCCTAAGCAAACTGGGGTCAGTCGATGAGGTCTGGAGGGGACCTATTCTACATGAGACTGAAGACAGAAGAGGCCAAGTGCAGTGGTGGAAAATTGTGTTCCTTCCTGTATTTCCCGCTTCCTTCCCGGACACTTAGGAGACGCACACTTGAAAGTGCATCTTCTTGACAGAGAGGTTTCTGAGCTGCTCTTAGAAGAGGCAGTCAGTGCTGCCTGGATCAGCCTCACCTGAAGAGGATCCAGCAGCAGGTGGAAAATGAACCAGAAATGACAAGGGCAACTAAGCCATGCAGTGACAACTGTTAACACACAGGGCTGTCTCTGCTCCAACACGGAAGAAGCAAGCGAAGGCCAAGAGGCTTCTGAGTGAGCAAAGCACTTCAGCTCAGGCTGACCTGGATAGGAAGGAAGAGATGGGACCGTGGGGCCCAGTTAAGACCACCAGCCCCAGTCATGCCCTCAACATCCCAGGCATTGTTGAGGCAACCCTGGCTTGGCCTCTCCATGAAACTTCTGCACCCACATTCTCTAGAGTTGAGCTCTCTAGGATGAGAAAAACACCCGGACATAGAACAGGGCTGTGTTCTGGAGAAGGAAGCTACACACAAGGCAAGCTAAGCACAATGGGTAAAGCATGTTTTCAATACTTTAAAAATACTTTTTGGAGTTACTAATTTTCAACACCTGACCAGATGAAGGAAATGACTGAAATTTTGACCCAGATTGCAAAAGCAGCTGAGAGGCCCAATGCAGTAACAAAGGGGGATTTCTTCTATGCTGACAGAGATGGACCCATCCTAGCTAAAAGCAGAAGCTGGGTAAATTCTAGACTTACCTGGCTGGACACTGACTCTCCCAAAAGGAACAAAAACTGAAGAGAGGAACTTCTACCTTGGATGGATGAGAAGCAAGCAGAAGGAGGTTGATGAACTGAAAGGAAAAGAAAGAAAGGTGAAGAACAAGACAGATACCTCCCATGTGCCAGTTAGATATGGGGGTCGCTCAAAGCAGTTAGCATCCTTGCATTTTTTTCATCTGATGTTGGGGCCGAATACATAGCCAACTCCACTCTGGCTCCAGAGAATAAGTCACTGGCCTTCCATCACAGGCTCTCTGGAGAGCTGCGGGATTCTAGCAAAGTCCTGACTCTTCCATGACGACCTTACTCCTCTGAGAACTCTGAGAAAAAAAATATCCATACCCTCTGAAGAGTGTCGGGAATTTAAACTAGACCTGGGTATGACGTTTCTGAATGTTTAGTTAAAGCTAGGTCTGAGTCTAGGGTTTCAACTAAAAATAGAGGTGACCTAAAAGGTTTGGGTCACTAATGATCTCCACAAATAACTCACCTGGACGACAGCCACCGAGATCAGAATCGATGCTGGTGTGGCTCTTGAGGAATTCAGTTTAGACTTCAGAAAGAGACACAGGAGAGGAAGAAAAGCTCATACGTTAGGAGTGATGTGGCAGTGAGGTTCCGCCCAGAACCGGGACTGCTAACATTTAGCAGGAACTAACCAGAAAGTGCTTAGGTGAATAGTGGGGGAATCTGGAGGGCAGTCAAAGCAGGAAATAGAACAAGGAAGACAAAGACCTACTCTGGGGATTCATGGTGAAATGTCAGTAGGAGACAGGGAGAAATCCAAACCACTGTCTTTATCATTGCGAATAATGTTCAGACCTGCAATGTTACATCCAATGTCCCCAAGGAGATAGGAGAGGGGGAGGCAAAACTGGCTGGTGAAATAAGAAGGATCTGTCAATCACAAGATCCCAGAGCAATGCAGTGCCCGTATGTAGAACTTCTCGCGAGCTTTCACGAGATGTGGACTGCATAAAAGAAGACCGGATAGCACCTGGGAGTCCTTTACTGAGTTCCTACGATAGCCTGAAATACGTTCCTGAGAGGCTGGGAGTACTTTTCTTTTTGTTTTTGCCCTGTTTTTCTCTTTGTTCTGCCCAAGTTTGCTGTGTAGAGCTGATTTCTTCCATATCATTCATTCTGAACTTTTCAAATAAACTTTTGGCGCTGTTTTAGTCTTGGCTTGTCCAATTCTATGTTCAAGGCAAGAAGGACCTGAAATACATTTTATTGGAGAGCCATTTCGAAGAAAACAACCCGGTAACAGTAATAGATTCTTTCTGTCTCTGTTTCTGTCTGTCTCTCTGTTTCTGAAACAGGGTCCTACTGTATAGTTCAGACTGGCCTTAAACTCACTATGTATCCAGGCTGGTCTTGAACTGATGGCAATTCTCCTGCCTCAGCTTCCTAAGTGCTGGAATTACAGATGTGCACCACCAGGCCTGGCTAGGTAATAGACTCTTAAAACCCAATTAACTATCTGAAGGGATTTTTAGCCTCTTGTCCTAAGCTAATGAACTTACTGAGAAAAGTGCCCAGAAAGATCACAATGCTACATTATTCTGTGACATGGAAGAAAAGCACAGGTTGCCTCAAAGGTAGAGCTTTGCAAGAGATACTTTGAATTTCAAGAAAGGAAGATGGTGATGTCTACACACCATTGTCTGTCAAGCTTGGTGCACTATAGGCCAGATGCACTACATATAGATTCAGTGCAAACCAGCCAGAGGGGACCATCTCATCTACTTGCAGAGTTCTTCACGCAGACCCGAGGAAAGCTAGGAAGAGGCATTAACAGTCTTTAATACCTTGGAGATGAACCGGAAAACCGGGGGCTGCAATATAATAAATCAGTGAAGTGTACTTGTAACTGGGAAGGAAATGCTGCTCATGAAGCCACATAATCCCAGAGAGAGCTCTTCAGGAGATTTTTGATCACAGTCCTTTCTATCCTATTTAAAATTTCTGTTTTATTGGATATGAGCTACAATGGCTTTTATGCTCTTTTTTTTTTGGTACCGGGGATCGAACTTGGGTCCTTGCGCTTGCAAGGCAGGCCGCAGAACCACTGAGCTAAATCCCCGGCCCTACAATGGCTTTTAAATCAAAGTTCCAGTGATTTAAGAATGAGGATGATTGAAACACTGGATGGTAGAGGTAGGGTTCAAAGGAACTTGATGGCTTACAACCAAGACTTGAGTCCAGTGAGGAAACATGCAGCGTGGCCAACATGGGGTTGTACACTTAAATCACAAGACGAGCTTCACAGTGTGTATGTCTGAATGGTGCACATGCAGAGGTTTTGCCAAAACCTTGACCGTGACATTCAGTTGCATTCATGAAGTACCTTACCTGAATCAGCGGAGTTCACAGCCTCTCTATTCTGCTCAAGTTGGAGGTCACATAAAAAAGACGACTCAGTTCAGGGTGCACACTCCCAACAGGACAGTGACAATTGGGAGCATGGCCAAGAGGAACATGGATGGGAAATTAGAAGCAGTCAAAGGAAATTAGAAACAATTAAAGGAATTGGAAAGATTTGGCCTGGAGAAGAGAACACGATAAGAAATGGGTTTCTATATGGTCTTAGCAGGCCACACAAGGCCCACCAGGTAGATTTGGAACTGTCAGGAGAAATTAAAGAATTGTAGACACTCAGCAAAAAGTAAAAACAAAAAAAATACAAAAAAAAAAATGCCACAAAGCCATGAATTTCCTCTCTCACTCTTGAGATATGGATTGGACAATCACTTGTTGAGCAAGAAGAGACGAGAGGTTTGTGCCTTAAGGCCTCATCATTCCTAATGGCTAGTTATCCAGCTTTTTCTTGAACACTGCTTGGGATGGTGAGATCATTACCTAATGATAGTGTCTAAACATTTGAATAAATGTTTATTGGATATTAGTCTCAATGATTGTTACCATCTTAGGTAATTTCAAAAATGATCTTCTGACTTTGAAACTGTCTCATGGATTGAATCCAAAATGAATTCTTTTGCCATTCCCTTTTCTTATTGCCTAATTCAGTCAGCCATAATCTCTTGCTTTCAACAGAGCAATTGTTACTTGGATGAAATCTTCGGCCTTTAGTTTTATGTTCCTTCCAATACACTCAACCCTGTGGCCACAGTATTCCTTCTTTAACACATAGTTTATCAAGTCAGTACTATCCTTTAGACTGTTAGTGACTCAGTTTCTTCTATAAACCCATGGTATAATAAGGATGGGAGAGGAGGAAGTGAGCAATGGCCTGCTCTGGAATTTAAGAGTCTTACAAAGCGTGAGCATCAAATGCAATACTTGGACCTTGATTGGGTACTGATTTGTACCACCCAACTCCAAAGTCTCTTATACACTGCAATAGAAATCCTTTGATTAATTTCTTAGATTTTTCCCACGGAGCAATCATCCTACTTTGGCTTTTCCCACAATCTAAAGCAAATGTCCTTCATCTTTATCACGAGAGCTACAGAGAAGAAGCACTGTCCTGCTCATCAGACTGACTGGTCCCTTGAGGGAATGACAGATTAATCTGTCACCAGTTGTGTGAGTCATTGCTCCTCAGCTTTCTGTCCTTTTGGTGGAGAAGTGGTGTAGTCAATTCCTGATTATCTATTAATAAATGGAAGGAGGCACAAATGTAATTAATCAAAGAATATTTCACCTGGTATGTACCAGTGCCATAACAATGTCTTCACACCTTGCTGCCAGCCAAATGCTGTGATGCATGACTGTAATCCCAGCATGCTGGGAGGCTGAGGTAGGAGACTCAAAAGTTCAAGCTCAGCCTGGGTGTTATGGTTAAGGTATAAAATGGCCCTCCAAAGTCTCATGTGGTTAGAAGGTGAATGGATCATGGGGGTGCTACACGCATCAGTGGATTGATCCACTGATGAGTTCAGTAGCTGGATGTGCTGTTAAGAGGTGGGGTCTGGTTGGCAATGGGTCACTGGAACTGTGACCTTGGAAGAGTTTGCTCTTGTCCCTGGTTCCTGTCTTCTTTCTCTGCTTCCTGGATGCCATGTATCAAGCAGCTTTCCTCCACTGGGCCCTTCCACCATGCTGTTTCTGCCTTGGAACAAGCAGGCTTTGGACTGAACCCATGGAAACTGTGAATCAAATAAGCCTTTCCCAGTTTAAGTTGTAGGTATTGGGTGTTTTGTGCCAGTGATGAGAAAGATGACTAATACACTGGGCAACTTAGCAACTGAGAGAGACCCTGGCTAAAAAAAGGGGGGCTGGGGATATAGCTTGGTGAGAAGGCCCTAAATTCAACCCCTAATCTCCACTACTAGCTAAACAAAACTTACCGCAAAAAGTCAGAAAGACATGGAAATAGGAAGCAGTCTTTGAGAAACATTTGGAGAAAACTAAGTGATAAAGTGAGACCTCAAATCTTTTTCTTTTGACAATTGTTTCTTAATTGCATCTTTTTAAACTACTATTCTGAACAGCGGCCTCACATCCCCTCTACAGAGAAATTTTACGTTGGGATTCTCTTTCTTCAGGTGGCTGAAATTGTGACATGTAAATCCTGGAGCTGTAGGGTTGTGTCTCCTTGGACCTAAGAAGCAGAAAAACAAAGCAAAGCAAAACAAAAAAACCCAAAACAACTGCATATTATTAAAACAGGCAGCTGAGGGAGACAGAAGGAGATAGTGAAAGAAAAGCCTCTATGTTATGGTTCCTCTCCAATGTATGATTGCTTTCTTTTCTTGGCGTTTCTTCAGACACACCCAATTTTTATGACAAATCTCCCCTTGTTGACAATAGAAAGTAAAAGAAAAACCAGAATGAGATCTGGTTATTATCTGAACAGTCTTCAAGCTCTTACTAATTTTATGAAATCTTCCCTGATCACATCAGTCTCAGTGATGCTATCTTCTCAATTCCTGTGCTAATTATCTCCCCCCACTCAACTCTCATTAGCACTCACGCTTGCATTGTGAGTGACAGTCATATACCTCCCAAGTAGAGTACACATTACTTGAAACCATGATTTACTGACTTGTTCATATTTCCCACTGCACCAAGCCAAGCAGAAGGCACTGCTTTGCCAGTTCAAGTTTACCTAGAAGTGGAGGAATTGAAGTTACCTTGGCTTTGATAAAAGAGTGCCTGGGCTGGGGGATTTTGCTCAGTGGTTCCGGCGCCTCCTTCCGCCTGCAAGGTATGGAGTTCGATCCCCGGTACCAAAAAAAAAAAAAAAAAGAGAGAGAGCCTAATCATGTAGAAAATAAAAATTGAGACCCACGATGATACTAGAAGGAATTTGGGATTATATATCAGTGTAGAAACAGTTTTAAAGACCCTCTAACAGTGTGTAAGCCAGGCTCAACCGTCTCCAAGAGGTTAGAATGATGACCAGCTTAACAAATGGAATTAGCTACTGACTCACCAGTGTGTGCTGTGTAATTTGCCTATTCAGTTGCCTAAATTTCTTGTGTTGACAACGATCTATGCTGAGCCTTTCCACATTTACATCACCTAGAAAATTTAAGAACTTGCTGTACAAGTTCAGGTTTGGAGAAGTCTGACTTAGCAGGCATTGATTATTGTGAAAAAGATCCAAGGGCTTTAACAGAGCTCAAGCTTAATATGAGTCAAGGGCCTGCTTCGATTTCTTAGGCAATATTGATCTTAGACCAAGTTAAAGAATCACTTTAACTTAGGGCTGGGTGTTTTGGCCATCTAGAAGCCACTCTTTCACATGGCCCTGGGCTCTGGCTATCAAAAATCACCCAGGGTCTCCTTGAATTCCATTCATGGCCCCAGAAGCGGTCTATTCCATGTGGCACAGCTCAATGCTTAGTAAATTCTCCAGGATTTTAAATGCTTGTTTTTCTGTCTACTCCTTTGGCATTTCTGCCTTTTAGGCTTCACTGAGCCAC